GCTCTCAGATTCCAGAACACCACGCGGTTCACATTTAGTATGCTAACCAGTGGGGTCACTGTGATTTCCAAGGTCACATACCCAACGAACAGCTCTCCTCCTTCTATGCAGACTTTGTAAGTTGAGCCAGACTCCTTTAAAGCCTGGTTATCAGGTTCTGTCTTCTGACTGCCTCAAATAGCGTAAACACACCCTCACCTCAAGTTCCAATGCCCGGAATTCCAATGCCTGTAGTATGTGGCAAGATCCAAAGATCTGGGCCACCTGTCCATCTTAGCTTGACTAAGGAACCATTATCCCACTTGAAGTTTCTCACATGTTACTGTTTTTCCCACACCCCACACTTACTCTTTCCTTCTTTGAGATGCTTCTAGGAAGACAACTCAAAACACACACACACACACACAAACACACACACACACACTGCTGCTGCTGAATCTCCCTCCCTTAGTAAGTAGCTGTGAGAGCTTGGACAAGGGGCAAATTCACCTCTCTAAATAGAGAATATGTCTTTCATGGGATTGTCAGGAGGATGAAAAGAGTTTTTATCTGAAAGGCAACTAGAATAGTCCCTGGCACATGGTAAACACACAATAAATGTTTGTTTTTAAAAAGAAAATGTTAGGAACCCTTCCTTTCGGCCTCATTGACTCCTCTTCTATCACTCTGCTGACACAGTTTGCCTTTATCAGCTGAGGCGTCTCCTTCATGGGAGGGTAGTTTCCCTTGAGGCCAGGAACTCTGTCGGGTCTGTCTTTTATCCAGGGCGTTGAATCAGTGACTGCCACCCAGGCATTCAATGAATGAATGCTGAATAAATAAATAAGTCGCTAAATGAGAAATATAAGATGTGCTATGTCTGACCTGAGGGCTGTCTCTAGGAATGGCGGTGTGAAAAGACTAAGTACAGCCTTTTTTGCTATAGAAAAAAAAATAGTTTGACGGGAGATATACCAGATGAAGAGTGCTTAGTCCTTCCTGGCGGGTGAGATGAAATGTAACATTTATTTTCCTCTTTCTACTTTTCTATTTTTCCCATAACAAGGGGGTAGCCGGGGGCAATGTGAGTACACCGCAGGACCAACGGGCATGCAGGGGACTGAGCCCTGCTGTAAGCAGACAGATTCAGGAACTGTATTAGCGAAGATGACAGGAGCTGCACTAGCAGGTGGACTTGGAAATTTCAGCATCTTAACGTGATAGGGATTTATTTCTTGCTCATATGTTTAGAGGCATGTGTGTGTTTGTACGTACTCCATGCAGTCATTCAGGGACCCAGCCCCGTGGAGGATCTGCCATCAACCCATGACTTCCAGGCCACCTTGATGCCAGCATCTGGCTAGTGGATGAGGAAGAGCAGGCTCGTGGGGACCACATGGCAGGCAGCACACGGCGTGCCTCACGTCTGCCACGTTCCTCTGGTCTGAATTCAGTAACATGGCCACACCCAGTGAGGACGCCTGCGAGACTATTTCAGCCACGTGTCCCAGCGGAAAGGCAAATGGGTTTGGGGAACAGGCAGATGGTGCCTCAGCTCTCCTCCCCTGCGACCGGCACAGCCCTGTTGACTCAATTGTCACCCCCCACTGGTCTCCACTCTTCAAGTCTCTCCCACTCAGTCCACCTTCCGCCCTGCTGCCAAAGTGACTTTTCTAAAATAAATATTTGGCATGTCACTTGCCTTGCTTAACTCCCTATCACCTACCGAATAAAGTTCACATCTCTCAAAGATGAATCTCTCAGTCCATAAAGTCAAATGCACAGATATTATTTCTCTCTATAACTAAACTTAGTTTCAATTTTGAGCTCCCACCCTGCCAGATGGTAGAAATGTGACCTTAATTCAGAGTTCCCCCCCACTTCAGGTGCAGGGTAAAGTATAAGTTCTGGGAGGGTATATCACAACGCCAAGGCCTGGGGTAGGCATATCGTTCTCAGTAGTCATCTTAGAGGGACTTTCTGAAGGAAACCAAAGCATAACTTGCCCTTAGAACACTCCAGAAAACCACATCTTGAATATTTCATTCCAACAGTTAGTGGAAGGAGGCAAACCAAGCCCAGCAATACTGAACAAAACCTTAACACAAAATGAAAAAGCAAGAAAATGAGATGTCATTGTGCATACAAGGGGCAGGGAACCATTAAAAAAGAATTCATGGTAGAAGCTAAAATCTCTTGCATACATCTCTTTATAAAGGAACAGAAGAACAGCCTAAATAAGGAGTTTATAACACAAAGATGGAAAATGGTTGGAGCCAATTCATCCAGTGATGACACCCTGATGAGATTATCTACTTCTGGCTTCAGAGATAAGCAGTGCTTCCCTGGTCCCCATCTTTCTGAGAACTGGTTGTTTAGCTTATCCTTCAATATGATGTATCATCTCAGATACTTCCAATATACTCCTTTCATTGCCTAAGTTTATAGGGTTGGTTTTGTTTACCTGCGATCAATGTAAACTGATAAATATTCAGTTAGCAGTCTCATTGATCGACCTCCACTTAACTGACTTTTTATTAACCAAGTACTAACTAGTACTAACAACATGCTGATCCCTAACCTCTAATATCCCTGACCCCATGGATTCCACTTGAGTGCAAATCCCAAATCTGTCTATGCTAACTATACATATTATAGTACTTACGTATCATAATTAAAGATTAACTCACCAATGAAACTCAAAGGCAAAGATAGTGTTTATTCTTGTGAAAACAGAGTTCAAGTCTTGCTAAAGGTAAGCAGGTAAAAAATGCTGTTATGAATTAGGGGTGTATGTTTGAGGGAGGACCATCAGATAATGGTGCAAAATAATAAAACTCTACAAGTATTTTTTTTTAAATCAGATTGCTTCTCAACAGCAAGATGTTAAGTTCTCACTCTCCTTTAAACAAATCAAAAATGGAAATCACAGAATTCCTAATGGATGACTCCAATCAGCAGACCTCAAAATCAAAGAGAAGGCTTTAGTCCTGTGAAAAATCAGGAAAAAAAATGAACATCTGAGTGTGATTGGTTAGAATATTTAAGGTATATGTCATTTATTATTATATTTTGGTTTAAGTATTTTTTTAAATTTTAATTGGGTGATCAAGTTGAATAGGAGGACTTTGTATAAGGAAACCGAGAGGGAAGCTACTATACTTATGTCTATTCATCTTTTAGTTCTCAGTAGGGCTGACCCATCTTGAATTTTAGGACAATCCCCCAATTCTTTGTGCCTCAAAATATAAGAGTGGCCAAATATCCGAAGGATCATCTAGTTCACATCTTCTCTTTATAAATCGAAAACTGAGGCCGCGAGGGGGGAAGTGACTATGCTGAGTCACCCACCAGCTCATGACAGAGCTGGGACTGTGACCCAGATCTCTTTAATGCATGAGCTCATCCTACAGCACAGGGATTTGGTCCAAGGATTTTATAAATTTACTTATTCCTCTGTAGAATAGGTTTAATACCCAAAAAGGAATTATTATAATGAGATAATTCAAAATAAATTATAAGTCCATTTTAGGAATAGTATCCAGTCAAAAATATATATATATATATATATATGAAGCTCATTATTCAGAAGGGAAGGAAATGGGAATGAATCACTCTGGAAACCCTGAATACATCCCCGTTAACCCATCTGCCAACTTCTTATCGACTAAACACTGAGGATAGTCATGCCATCGCTGGTTTGCTTTCTACTGTGTCACACAGATTTTCATGTCCCCAAGTTACTTTACCTGGTGCAACTTTATAAATGAAGCAAGAGACTACATTTTACAGCCCATGACCAGATCAGCAAGATCTTTTCTTTCATTATCCAGGAATAAAGGTGCCCTTTTTGTCAAAGTGGATGTGAGCATGAAGGTTAATGGTCAAGTAGGTCATTAAAAAAAACAAAAAAAAAGCTTTGGGGAATCTACTTTTCATTGATTTATTTTTTCCATAGACTTGGCCATGTTTTTGGCAGAAGCAGCAAGATTGCATGACAGTTTGGTGTTGAGAGTCAGGGCATTTATGCATTTATCCATTCTAGACACCTTGTTGGAAGCAGGCAGCAGGCTCACATCTCTCCTTCCCTCCTCCTGCCTCTCCGCAGAGGATAGTTGACATATTTTTTTCACTCCCTTCTCAAAAGAGGGACAGTGCTACTCAAAACCAAAGAGTTGACTAGGTCAGACCACTGGAGTTGGGGTGGGAGGGTCTCTGCTTCTTTGCGGGATTTCGCTTCCTAGGAGTCTCAAGCAGTTTAGCTCAGACGGGGGGGGGGGGGGGGGACAGGGCCAGGCCAGTGACAGGTGGTGAGCTGCATGGAGCTGGGGAGGCCCTGGATAAACTGGGGAGGCTCTGCCTCCTCTAAAGGGACAGCCAGGACGTAGCTCCAGCTCCCGGTCAGCCAGGTCTCTCACTTTTAAAAAGAACTAGAATCCAATTATCTCATGTGAAAGTCTTTTGATTCTAAAATGAGTTACAATTTTAAACACTGTCCAAACCAAATAAAATACATCTTTGGGCCGGCCACAGTCTCTGGGCTCCCCACAGGTGACACTCTGAGTTCCCCAGGCCCCCCACGCTGGCAGGTGTGGTCCAGGTCAGCCAAGCCCACAGGGACATGATGAAATTTTAGAATAGGGCCTTGAGCTCTGGAGGGAAAGGCGAAGCTTCAGCTTATGTTAGGTCTACACCGCTTGAACCCGCCCAGGCTCAGCACAGAGAGTTCTTCCTGATGTCCGGACTAGCTCGATCGAGTTCAGCATTAGGACTTGGGGCTGAAATCTCAGTATCATGGAGTATTTGTTTCCCAGACTAATTTTCTTGTTCTGCATTGATGAATTTCCCCCGTGGTCCTCTGGGAAAGCCATACGGCAAGAATCCCATGTCCTGGCCATTTTTCTTTCTCTCAGTTGCCTGCAGCCCTATTATACCCCCACACCCCACCAAGCTTCCTGTGTATGTCTGTGGGTGAGAGGAGTGAGCAGGTGAGGATCAACACACCTGATAATCTACACAAACCTAGTTGACTGTATTGTCCACTTCATTGACTTTGCAAACACGCACCAAAAATTTTGGAAGACCCCTCTGTAGTTCACTATTAAAGCCGCAACAATCTCTTTGCCACCTCTAACACTTCAGGGATCCCAGTATTCCTGTAAGTAATTAGAATTCGATAGGACTAACTGTTCATTATAGGGAGATCAAAATACTTTACATAGCCTTTGGTTCCAAAGACTTCTTCATGTAATTAAAGAATGCCTCATTTTAGCATTTGGTCTTCCTTATTATCTTTGTACTCAGTTAATAAGTTTTTAATTGAAAATCATCTTTAATGAGTGAAACTCCAATGTGTTAACAGGACAAACCAAATGTCTGATATTCATCATTAATAGAGTGAGAAGCCACAGGCTGTCTTGTGCAATTTACTGAGTGCTTATCAAGTACGACTCTATGTACTCATAAGAGAACTGATGGGTCATTTCTTCTGGAAAGTACTCAAGAAACCCACTGTTATTAGAAAGAATCTTTGAGTAAGATCAGCTACCTTTTAAATATAAACACGATCACACTCTCTGTGTTCTAGACCTGTTTCCCTTGCTGTGGGAGGAGAGAATTAGACAGAATCTTTTCTAGTGGTCTTGTGTAGCCCTGATTTTGTGAAGAAGGTTGGGCTCTGGGCTCTAGTGTTTGGGTCTGAGCTGGCTCTACCACTCGCTTGCTGAGTGACCTTGGACAAGTCTGTCTTTAAGGATCAACTTTCTCATCTATTAAATGAGAATAATAGTACTACCAATCTCATTGTGATGATAAGAATTAAATGGGATAATATATGAGGTTAAAACAGTGCTTGTCATGTGGTAAACAGCTGCCTCACCCCCAAAAAGTATTAGCAAATAATATCCCAGTAAATACAGTTCCTTAAAAGGAGGCCTTGCCCATTGAGAAGGAGCCCTACCCACTGGTCCTAGCTCAGCAGTTAGCTAACTCTGACCCTGAGCAACTTGGTCTTTCAAGGCCCTTGATTATGAATCTCTAAATGAGGAGATTAGACTGGCATTATTCATTCCCAAACAACTACTAATTTATAGCCTCCCGGAGGTGAGATTAGTGTTCCTGGCAATTGTGAAATACATATTTCTATCTGAGTTAACTAACCTCAGCCTGAGGATATGGGTTAAAACAAACAGCTCTATTGCATTGTCTAGGATGGAGTATTAATATTTTAAAGCCAATTATAGACAGTAAAACATTTTTTTTTTTTTATAAAGAGAAACATTCTCCTAGGCGGGAAACACTCTGTCTGTGCCTGCTCCCTTCCTCTTCCTCTCTCAGCAGTGGAGTAAGTTGGGGAGAAGAGACTGGGCAGCTCAGTGTCCTCTCTGTAGGGGCAGCCTCTTGCCCAGAACACAGCTGAGTTGCAAGAGCCCAACAGCCCCTCTGTTATAGCTGGTTTAACACACAGAGAAAAGTGTTGGCAGTTGCATATCCAAGCTATGTTCCCACTCAACATCATCGGTAAAAACTTGGATTTTAATCTGTAGTCATCTCATTTCCAGTGATATATTTCTCAGTGTGGTCTAAATCTGGGGAGGGAGGGAGGTGAGCTGTTTTTTATGTGGCCCCCAAAGTCCCAATAAATACCTTAGGGTCGATTTGAATTGCTTAGAAGGAAAGTGCTCAAGCCCAGTATGGCTTGTTTATGTTACGATGCAATGTCCTAGCCAGGCCAGACCGCAAGGATCCAATATTTCCAAGGACCTATAAACAGATTTTCCTGGTTAAAAGATGCGAGTCTTCGGACTCCAGCTGCCAGCCACTGGTTTCCAAGCCAAACCTCCCTGGTTGAGGGCTTTTTCCTTGGAATGTGACTGCCTCCACCGTTCCACCCTGCCTCTGCTAAAAGGTTCTCTGTTCTAGCTCCGAAATCCTGAGGAATTATCCATGTTGTTCTTATTTAAACATTCTAGCCCAGAAATAACTTGTGGGATGAAAGGGGGTCTTGTTTCAACACTGCTTGTGCTGTTTCACATGGGTACATGCATTTTCTATGTGCTCTTTTCCAGCACTCCCTACACAGCACTAATCAGAAGAATGTTCTCTTCTTCCTGACTTCACAGGTAGCTGTTTGCACATCCCAAAGTATCCCAGCAGCTGAGGTGATTGCACACCATCATTGCCAGGGTAATTATATTTTATGTCCTTCCATTCTTTTTTGCTGGTTCTTGCAAGTGGGTCAAGATAGATTTGAAATTTTCTCATAAGGAACATATTGAGCTGTCTAGATAATAAAATCAGCATTTGTTTCCCTACAAGACAAATTAATGCCAATCTTCCCTTTGCATATAATAATCATGTCTAAAACCAGTGTGAGGCATTTACCTGGAAAGACGCTATGGGCTACGGAATTTAAGTCCCTTCTAACCGCCCCACTGAGGCAGGTATCTAATAGTAATGAAGATATAGTATATCTTTGAGCTACAGTTTATGGCTCTGCCAGGCACCCATTGATTCCACAAATGGTTTCTTTTCCACATTGTAAAAGAAGCTGATAAGCCATTTCCTCTAATCGCTACAGCGTGTCTTCCATATTGATCTACCCTTTTTGCTCTCAGCCCTCACTGCAGCCCTAGGCAAGGCAGAATTTCTTTTAAAACACTTCAAAACCCTCCAAGTAATTTTAGTGAGGTTTAAAAAAGTGCAATTCTTCTAGATCTTACTTTTCATAACACTGTAAAAGTCGATCACACAAATTGGGGCATTCTTATCAGACCCAACTAAAACAGAGTCAAGAAGCCAAGGGGAAAAAAAGCACTCAGGACTCATCACATTGTCCAGAAATGTAATTCTCTGCAAGCTTGACTACTGAAACTGCCTGCTGTAACCCGAAACCAGGTTTACCTAACAGCTTCTGAATCAACCTGTTGCAACTCTGAGACTAGTTTTACCCACAACCCATTGCTCACCAATCAGAGCTTGCCAGCTCTTCAAAACTACTACTGGCAACGAACTTTCTCAAAGAGCAATACCTAATGTTTCTCTTTCCATAAAACTTCTAGCCTTCTTTATGTTCTTCAGACATACCAAAGACCACCACCCGGTCTGTGTGTATGGCCTGAATTGCAGTTCCTGTATCCCTAATATAACGTTAACTTTAGAGATTCATCTTACAGATTTTATTTGACTTTAACAACACTCAGATTCTAGCGTTGGCTACTGAAAAGGAAGATTATTAGATGGGGGAAGTCAGAGAAACAAGTGTCTACCTCTAATATGTTTTAAAACAGAGAGCTCACAATCTACTTTTTGAGAATTATATTCTCCTGAGAATAGCAGCTAAAGTTGTCGATGAACAAACAGGAATAATGTCTGAGTGCAGAAATATCTCATTTGGGTTCTTTTCTATTTTGATAGTATTCTAACATGTATCCTAAAATATTAAAAAATAATAAACCATTGCAGATGAATCACAGTTTTAAAATATTAAATAGTTCTTCACCTGAAACTGGACTGATACTGCTTTTTCAGGGTATTCACATCTGTGCAGCTGAGCAGAATGCTGCCAGAGAAACCAGGTCTAGACCAAATCAGGAGCAAGCCAGAAAGCTTTCCAAGTACAGAAAGGAAAAGGAAGCCCCTACTCATCTCTCTCGTGCTCTGCCACCCCCAAAGCCCTCTGTCCATGTTGACATATGAAAATATTCCTCATTTATTTTAGCTATTGTACAGTGTTCCATCTTCATCAATGTATCACAGTTTATTCATTTCCATTCGCTTACCAATGAACAGTTAAATCATTTGCAGTGTTTTTATTAAACATGCAAAGAACATTCTTTGGCATGTTTCCCTATTGCACATGTGCAAAAGTTTTACTAGTAGAGAAACCTGGAAGTAGAATTGGGGACCATAGGGTATGTGTATTTTCAACTCTGCTTAATATCCCCAAATCACTTTCCAAAGTAGTACCAATTGGCACTCCTACCATCCATGATTATGAGTTCCCTCTTCCACACAAGCACTTCATATTAGCACACTGCTTATAGTCTGCCAATTTTATGGTTGTGAAATGTCATGTGATTGTTTTAATTTATATTTCCCTGAATAGTAGTAAGGTTGAGCATCTCTTCATATGCTTACTGCCACTTGGATTTCTTCTTCTGTGAAAACTCTGCTTATATTTTTCTGCCTATTCTGTATGGTTGTTTGTCTTTATCTTAATTGATTTTTAACTTCCTTGGCTAGGCTGTTTACTAATGCTTTTCTCTTTTTTTCAAATATGTACTGCATCTAGAAGCTCCACTATGCCTTGAAAATTAGTTAAGTGTTGCAGATCGACACATGCATTTTGGAACAACAAAAGTTAAACCAAAAAAAGGAAGGAAAAAGGAAAACAAAAACGCCCCTGAACCGGGCAAAAGGGGGCGCAAAAAGAACAAAAAAAGAAGGGGAAAAGGGTAGAACCTAGAGATTGGATAAAAAGTCTTAGGGGTACAATTCTGTCATGATCTCAGGAGCTATGCCTTAATGAGAATAGGTTTTCTCAGAAAATGATTAGAATTTTAACTTAAAGCGTTTCTAAGCCACGCTATAACAGTTGCTCAAGCTTTGTAACTGGATACTGATCATTTATTTCCAATATTTATATGAGTAGCTTCCCCTTTAGGGGAAGGGAGGCTACCCATTGACTGGCAGCAGTGACTACTTTAAATAGCAGATTCCTCTTGCTACTGCAGAAAGAGAACACTGGATTTCCCTAAGCACTGTTACCTTTGAAGTTGTTCGACTGATTATCAGCAGTGTCATTTTATAAAAGCTGTATTCCTAGGCATTTTTTATGGTCTTTTATTATTATTATTGATGGGAGGGACCGTTCTGCTTAAAACTGTAGGCAGTCAACTTAACAACAATTAAATTTAATGAATATTTAGTAAGTAAACTGGCAGAACCAACCTATACCTGCTAAATGGAGGAGGAAGGGATTGGATTGGGTGTTTTGCTCCTTTGCAATGGTGAGAAGAAGAAGGAATGGGAAACCTGCCATTAGGAACCACCTCACCACCATGGATGACAAACTTTCCAAGAAGCTCTCTTGGGGAGGTTAAAGATAAGTGTGATTCTATTAAGGGAAATCCCCACAATGCCCAGCATCCCCTTAACATGGTGGAGGTTTTCCAGGACAATGGAGAATAGCAGAGAGTGCATACACAGACCCATGGAGTGCAGGGAGTGGCAGCTGGGAAACACTGTGGAATAGACACAGAGAGGGGACTCCTGGTCCCACTTCCTCTCTAAAAACAGGGAAGGGATGGTGCAGAGATGAAGTGGTTTCTCTAGACGTGCCCACCTTCCTAAATCTTTCTCCAGTCCCAACTAGCTGGGGGAATTACTGCCCTAGTCATGGAAACTCGCACCAGCTACCACTGACCTAAACATTCCAAGAGAAGATCTTGACATGGGTTAGGTATATCATGAGGATGCACATAGAACCTGCTCTCTAGTTTTAGACTTAATACCAGACCTAAACCAATCTCATGTTAATGTTCAAGGATGGATAAACAATACAGAATCTGTAAAAACAAAATAAAGGCAGTCAACATTGTCATCAAGAAATAGAAAGTATCCACCTGAAATGAAAATACTATATTAAAACAGAAACAATTTTCAGATACCACCTACTTTGTGCTCATGATAAAATTCAATAAAACAGTCTCTAAGACAAAGAAGAAAGACTAGGTGATAGTCTAATACTGAAAAATAAAGGGAAGCAGATACATAATGGGAAAAAAGTAAACAAACTCACATTACTATATAACTAATATTTTAAACTGCATTATAATCAATAAAAAGAGTAGAATCCCTACTGTAGAAAACAGTTATATAAAGGAAAAGATTGAATCACTCTCCCAGATTTAAGGCTGATGAAAATGAGAGAGAAGCACATGAAATCAAAATGACAATTAGACACAAAAGAAAAGTGTTTTCTTGAACTGAAGATCTGAATTTGCAGAATAAAAGTATTCATCATGTGGCAAGAAAATTTGTTAAAACAAGATGAGCCCTTATCCATATCTTGGTCAAATATTTGAATTTCAAAAGTAAATATAATTTCCTACAAAGAGTCAGGCAGAGAGGGTGGGATTTTACAGAGGGAGAAAGATTTCTTCAGAAAAGAAAAACATATCAGCTTGGCCTTGGAGGTCTTCTATACTATACTAAAAGTCAAATAATAAGACAAAAAAATAAAATGTTCAAAATAATATATTTAAGATAAAATAATAAATAAAAACCATAATAAATCAAACCCCTCAGTCTTCTAAAGACAAAAGTTTTGGGGACTAAAAAAGATGAATCAAAACAAAAATGAGCCCAAGAATGAGAAAGTTATTAAACAAAAAGTAAGAAAGATTAATGCCATTTTAATATAAAATGCTTTATATAATTATTTTATAAATATTATAAAACAGGATGAAAATTTAATAATTCTTGAAAAGGAAAATATATAATAAAAATAATGTACAGTAATAAATTAGTTAATAAGCATTAAAAATTTATCTTCTGTCTAAAGTCCAAGAATACACAAAGAATAGAAGGACATTGGGGTAGGTAATGAGTGGATTTCTGAATTTTTATGAGGGAACACTATATAAGTTGATAACTACATCTTTTTTTTTAAATTTAGGGATAACTAGTAAGGAAATCTAAATCAAAATGTATGTTTTTTTTAAATCAATGAGTAAACTTTAAGACTGTCTTCCAACTAAGCAAGGTGTAATGGAAACCAACTATTCAAAACCCAAAATATCTAATGATCCACTTTTCAATATATATATATATATATTTCTAAAACAGACATATCTGTGATATAAGACAAAAACAATTTTATAAATAGAGAAAAATTTTTAAAATCCAAAGGGGAGGGGAGCTGAACAGATAATTTTTGTATCACTGCTGAATTTATAACCTAGATTGGCAGTTCCAGATAAAATAATGCAAAGGTAGAGTTTAAGGATGCAGAGTTAAACTTAAGACATTTCAAACAGTAAAATCCCTGTATATTTCTTATATTGAGGAACACAATGACCATTTGCTGTTCAGACCCAAGATAGAGAAACGTAATGTTGAGAACAATCTACTTTTGATACATAATAGCACAATCTTTCTCTATATGGGACAGAAAATATTTTAGAAAGTTGAAATAAATAAGAAACTGAAAATATAAACACACGTTTCTAAATCTATTTCTGGTTAATTGGCTTCAGTCTTCTTTTGTTAAAGAAGGAAAACTTGGTAATAGTGTAGCTGACAATTGTAACAAATTTATTTACAATAACTATACAATAGAGAATGGATTTTAATTGTGTCTTTCTATTTCAACCATGAGCATATCTTTAACCTAAGAATTCATAGATTATAATAATTTTCCTTGCCAGCCTTAATCTGCCAGCCATGTATGACCATGATTAGCCTTTTCTTCCTTACAGTTTACAATTTTATGTAATAGCAGCTGTCAGTAAACATGGAGACTTAGCTTATGAATAATCATCCTTCACATTATAATTATAATCCTGGTAATTATTAATATATTTGCTAATTATTATTTCCTATAATGGACATTAACACAGTTTGACAAGGATCTTGAATGTCAGATTAGGGGCATTTTTCCTCTATTGCCTATGCAATAATGAATATGAAGAAGGAATCAAGAATTAGCTTCAAGTCCAGTTTCTGGTGTACAGTAGCAGGTGAACACTAGCTGAATAACTAGGATTAGTGTTTATTGAGTGTCTACTATATGCCATGTAATGCTAGATGCTTTATATCATTATCACATCTAATCCCCCAGTTCCTGTCATTGTGGATATTACCCTTCCCAGTTTTCCAATAAAAAAGCAAAAGTTTAGAGCAATTAATACATTTGCCTATGGATTGACTGCATTGCTATAATTTGAATCCAGATTCATTCCACTGTTATTCCCAGCTCTCTCTACCACACTCCTGATACCTAAAAATATGTATCACTGAAAATTATTCACAAGTGTTTGAAAAATTCTAGCAACCTCTGTTCAATAGTGAGTGATGATACAATGATTTACGATTCAGCAGTTTCTTTAAGGTGATCTCATTTCTCGTGAAAAAAAAATGATGCACATTTATATTACATAGGAGTTAGCATCAATATTTTAAGAAAACCTTTAACAGAATCATAGAAGCTTAGAGTCTGAAGGGACTTAAAACCTTTATTCTGTCTAATCCTACTGGGAAATTTGTGTCTGTTGCTCAGATCAGAATGTCGAACACTTTTAACACATCAAGTCAGAATTCTCTAAGCATACTCTTTGCTGAAGAAAGAGAAACCACAGGTGGGTAGCATGGGTTGCCAAGGAATCAATGGCAAATGAGGAAGACAAATTGAGTGAGAAATTGAGACGTAAATTCAAGTGCTTCATTTTCCATCTCCAGGCTTGAAGACCAAGAGAAATAAACATTCATCTGGTGCTGGACTAAATGAAATTTGAGGTTGATTCAGACCATAAAGTTCTGTGAAGGGCTTTTGAGAACGATGGAAGCGATAGCAATGATGTCAATTTAAAATAAATAAATACATAAAACCTCTTGAAGCTGACAAAGTAGGAGATAGGATGTTTAAAACTTTCATATATAGGTTGTTCATATTAGGGTGGGAGGTCAGGTATATTGGAAACACATAGAGTATATTTGGATCCAGATGACTATCAGGTGGCCTCTCAAATAGATCCATGTCCTACTCCCCCAAAACTGTGAATGTTACCTTCTATGGAAAAAGGGACTTAGCATGTGTGATTCTATTAAGGATCTTGAGATTTACCAGGATTATCCAGGTTGATCCAATCTAAACAAAACAGTCCTTAAAAAAGGGATGTAGGAGCAGTTGGAGTCAGAGGAGGGGCCATGCAGTGACAGAAGCAGATTCAGCAATGCTCAGTGATGGTGAAGGAAGAGGAACCAAGGAATGAAGATGAGAAACTGAAAAAGGCCAGGAAACAGCCCAATGAAACCGATTTTGGATTTCTAATCTCCAGAACTGTAAGAGAATAAACTGGCATCGTTTTAAGCACTAAATTTGTGGCACTGTGTTACAGCAGCAAAAAAATCTAATGCAGTGGCACTAGCAAAAACTGAAAGGGCCGCCTAAGCACTCTTTCTTCAGAATAACCCTTTAAAGGTCAATGAGTTGTAAAAGGCAAGTTGTAGCCTTAACATGATGCACTTGTAGCTGCAGAATTCATGTTACCTATAAGCAGCAGAAATCCTGAGCCTGCCCAGTTACATGGTTGGCTCCAGGCTGTTTTGCCTGTCTGACTACTTGTATGGACAGTAGGGCTGGTCTTTAATGGGGACTCTTCCCTGACCTCCAGCCCCACAATTCTGATTGCCTGCCTAGACATCTCCCCTTGGATGTTCTACCACAACCCAGGGTTCACAAACCAAGTCCGATCTCGGCATCTTCCTAGGAAAGTACACAGTAAGTATCCTTTGATTCTTTCTGGTCACATGGGATCAGCCTGAAAAAGTCATGCCATCGTGCTCTGGTCTTCTTTGTTTCCCTTTTGATTGCATACCATCACCCAAACCCAAAATGTCATGTCACCTTTGGGAACTCCTGGGCTCGTCTCTTATTTAATCAGTCACCGAACACTGTGGTCTCCATTCCCCTGCTTTCTCCTCTCGCTGCTGTAGTCCAGGTTAGGTCCTGGTAATCTGCAAAGATAATCAATGATCTTGGATTTCATTCTCCAGTGCTTGACTCCACATTTCCAGATAAATATTTCCAAAAGAATGCCACTTCTAATCACATCATTCCACTGTTTTTCCTTGTCTGCCATTGCAAGTAAAAATTCTCCGAGTTCCCCTCTCTCTTCTCACTTTATTTCTCCGCTGTTCCCTTATTCCTCTATCCTTCCTCTACCTTCTAATCTAGGATGCTTGCTGTTCTCCAGCAAACCTTGTTTCTCTTCCTCTGTGCCCTTAATCTATATTTGTTCTCTGCCTAGAAAATATCCTTTCAAGAGCCCCATTCCTGTGTACTGAAATAGTTCCTCTGTAAAATAAAGTGAGAAGATATGGTGATTTTAAGGTGTCTCTCCAAAAGAGAGAGTCTAACTCCCTTCTCTGAGGTGTAGGTTAGACTGAGACTTGCTTTGAATGAATAGAACCTGGTGGAAATGACACTGTGTAACTAGGTCACAAAAAGCATAATGGCTCTCCCACTCCCCTCCCGGAGAAGTTGTCTGCCATGTCATGAGAACATTCTAGGCAGCAGTTCTACGGAGAGAGCCATGCGGTAAGGAACCGAGGCCCCCTGCCATGTGAGTGAGCCGTCTCAGACATGGATCCTCCAGCCCAGCAAGCACCCAGATGACAGCAGCCCCAGGTGACACCTCGACTTCAACTTTATGAGAGACCTGAGCCAGAAGCATGTAGCTAAGCCACTCCCAAAGTGAAATATTAATAGTCAGTGTTTGTTGTTCAAAGCCACTACGTCCTGGGACAATTTGTTATGCAGTAATAGATAATTAATACAATAGTCAATCATTATTTTTTATTTCAGTAAGAATTTCTTGAATGCATTCACTATAGTGCATTTGGACCTAGGGCTTGGGGATGCACGGGTGAACTTACAAATCTCGTGTCTGCTCTTATGCTAATTATAGTCTGGCAGGGTAGCACACATTAAACAATTACTCACATAATTATCTAATCACCATTATGATAAGGCCTATAAAGTAGAAGAGATGGGGCCAAGATAGCATTAACTAGTCTGCTCTAGCAGAATTGGGAAGACTTATAAGCACGAAGGAACTAGGAGTCCCTGTGTGATAGCACAGGGCTTTAAAGAGGTCTCTGGGCAGCAGTGAAGTCCAGTGGTTAGGAGGGTTAACTGTAGAGCCAACTGCTTGGATTTAAATACAGTCCCCTGGCTCTTAGTGATTGCATGACCTCAGGCAACTTTCTTACCTCTCTGACCTGCAGTTTTCTCATCTGAAAGTGGCCATAATCATAGTTGTGAAATGGATTAAATGAGCTACTCCATGTGAGGTCTCTAGAGCAGTGCCTAGTACTTTGAATGTGCTCGATAGAAATCAGCTGCTATGTTTTGCATTTCTCTGCCTGGCCCATTATTAGATTCTAAATCAGTGGAGTCAGCCCATCACTCTTAAGTCCTAGCTCCATCTCTCCGTGAAGGAGAATCGCGAGTCCTGTTTCATTAGCCTGAAGCTGTAAGCAACCACCTTCTCAGAACATAACTTGAAGGTAACTCACCTGGGATTGAGGGTTTGGGGGCAGTAGAAACCAAAGGACACTTTGGAAGTCCTTAGAGAAGCTCTTGTACCAGTCACATAGGAGCAGGAACAAACCTACACAAACACCGTAAATCCTTCGCCTCCAGACTTAGACAATTTGTACAGTTTTTCAGCTTATACAACTTAGGCTTCTAATATAGCAGGAGCCTCCCATCCAGATCCAATTAAAGGCTTTTTTCTGTCATCATTGCTCTTTCCATTAAATGTTTTTTTAAAAAATGCTTGTCATGGGATAAAATGTAATGGGGCACAGAAGGAAGAGAAATCAGTTGCAAACATTTTGGCCTATCCAAGTGTATCAAGATATATTTCAAATGGATATATCCGGACAAGATTAAATCTCAGAATAGCCTAGACATGTATGAGTCAGCACCATGCACATAGCATGGTGATAGACTGCATCTCCTAACACACAAACCAAAAGTGCCTGTAAAATATCCTGGACTACCAGTTGGTGTGTGTGGCTGTAGCTACGAAATTAAAACACACACACACACAAAAACAATGGATGAGGGTAAAACATTCATGGAAGCATATCTTGGTGTCATACAGACCAAGTGTTTGATTTTAGTTGAGCTTAAACTTCCTTTTTTATGTCTCTCCCCCATTGTTCAACCGTGTCTACCTTGCAATTTAGACAAGTCTTTATCAGCAAAGCATTAGGACACTCAAGGAAAATAAAGACTCAGGTACTACCCTGTGCTGCAATTTCTGATTTTTTTCCCACTCATATTGTTTGCTGGTTTCTCTTTCTATTACCTTGTTTAGCATCAAACAGATTTTGTGTTGAACAGCAAATCCTGCCTTATATATTATGCAGAATAATTGTTCTTGATGCGATGGAGAAACATCATTTTTCTATTCAAAACAATTTCTGGATAAACACTCATGACTTGCACTAGTGCGATATGTACAACAGGCTTTTCCAGACATTTTTGGCACCAGGGAGAGTCCATAGTATTGATGCTGAGACTATTAGATGCACTGAAGTGAACCACACTACCAAATTTGACGTGCAAAATGAACATATTTTGTTAGCTCGCTCACTTCAGGAGAGCTGAAATTCTTTATACAGAATGAGAGATTTCCTTTGATCAGCCTTGTAAGTGGGAGGTAGAACTAAAGGTCATCAAGAGTTATTCTTTCCAAATTGCTTTAGCCATTCTGCATAGATTTACACACATGGCTCACTCAGAAGCAGCGAGAATAATTCCAAAAGCATAAAGCTGTATCAGTGGATCCCCATAAAGTACACAGACAGTATCTAGGGTCATATCTGAATTTATATAGGTGAAACTTTAACCCACATTCCCTGAGCTAATTGCAAAAGTTAGTGTGGATTTTAAAACTACATGGTCAGGTTGAAGTTGATGTTCTGGTAAAAAAGTACACTGCATTCAGGCAACATGTTATTTTGATCCTCTGAGTCACGAAATTTGTATTGGTGAAGACATTTTTTCCCCCCAAGAAACAGAGATTCTAGTTGGCTTAAATAAGAATGCAGGATTTATTTTGAGGACACGGGGTTGACTTGAACCTCAGGTCAAGATGCAGCCAGTCCTTGAAAGAACTAGACCCAGGAAGCTCGGTAGCACTCTTTCTTCCCTGTTGCATTGAGTGTTGCTCCAGCAACAACTGCTTCACCTTGGCAATGTCAGGCCTCCCGATAGCAGCAGCTGAATCCAATATGCAGTTTTGCCAACATAACGTAGAACCAGTTTCATTGCACCCCCAACAGTCCATCAGCCCAAGCACCACTGGCCAACGTCTCCCCCTCAGAAGTCTAAACCCAGCCCCATAGAGTCTGTCCTTTGAGCTTGGAGAGGACTGAGAAGTTCTCCTCCTTAGAGTTCTGAGTTTCAGCTCTAGGCCCCCTTCTCCAAGCTTCTAAATTTTAATCATTTCAGTCTCTTCCCTTTGGGCCTTGAGCCCTAAGGGTGATAGATAGCTGCTGCTGCTGCTGCTTGCAGTTGCAACCTTCAAGTTTTCTCTTTTTGTCTTTTTGGTTACATAGTTGACAACTTTAGACCTAGTTAACAATTCTTTATATCAAATTATTTTTTTGTTGTTCAAGTAACTGGTGGGTTTTCTGCCTCATTGGACTCAGGGTGATATAAGTATCCACTATCAAGCTACATGATTTTTGCAGTCCTGCCAGCTCTAAAATTTTCTGATACATAATCACAAGTATTACACAAGTATAATAAGAGTAGCTGAGCATAAATGACAAATGCCTGTGCACTAAGCACCATTATAAGAGGTTTACTTTGGTTGTCTCCTTTAGTCCTCCCCATCCTCATAGGAGGCAGGTGACCTAAGTATCCTAGTTTTACAGAGGAGGTAACTGAGGTTTGGGGAAGTTGCACAGCCTATGCAAGGCAGAAAGTGTGGTTACTGGTTCATCTCTTTGTTCCTTTCTACTAGCTCTCCCAGCACTTAAGCCTAACCTAGTAGTTACTCAATTTCACGGCAGTTCCCTTCAGAGGGTAAGAGCAGAGAGCAAGTTTTCATCTAGATTTATACATCTAATGTAGTCAGTAGTGTAGGACAGTCACAATAAATGTTGGTTGAGTTGAAGTTTGAAACTGAAGACACTGATTCAGAGAGTTTGAAAGACAGAATGACACATGAAGA